AAATACAATATAGGAATACAATATAGGAATACGACATGGGAATGCAATATAGGAATACAATATAGGAATACAATATAGGAATACAATATAGGAATACAATATAGGAATACAATATAGGAATACAATATAGGAATACAATATAGGAATACAATATAGGAATGCAATATAGGAATACAATATAGGAATACAATATAGGAATACAATATAGGAATACAATTTAGGAATACAATATAGGAATACAATATAGAAATACAATATAGGAATACAATATAGGAATACAATATAGGAATGCAGTATAGGAATGCAATATAGGAATGCAGTATAGGAATGCAGTATAGGAATGCAATATATGAAAGAGGAATACATTTTAATCAACCTCAATTCGGGGCCGTGTTATTTCTTTGACTGCAATTCAATGGCAAAAGGTATTTCTCTGAATACATCGCCAATCTCAGATATGAATAACTGACGTATGAAGGTGAAAGACCAATGTAAGCACAGTAGCTCCAGCAGTGTTGAAAAACCGTCTTTAGTTATACAAATATATCACACAATACAGTGCGTCAATGATGTCATTGTAAAGACTCCCCCCCCCAGACTGAACATTTTTAATCCGCCCCTGTCGTTGCCCCAATCCCTCCTCCCTCCCTCCTCCTCCGCCAAACTTTCTCGACTGCCGTAAATTGTGTTCGTTTCATAAATGCGTTAATAGTCGGCTACCATCGCGTTACCGTACACATAATCTACTATAAAAATGTCTGAGAAATGTTTTCGTAAACTAGTACAATGAAGAGAAACACACGGTGAACGGTGCATCCCCTTAGTTTGGTAGTTTTAGAGATACCCGCATTCACAGTCAGCTGGCGCGCATGTGATAATAAAATAATAGCTTCTTCGCGTAATTAGGTGTTCGTATGCAAGGGATTTTTCCACACAAAAACGACGAATTAGGCCGACTTTTGTTATTGGTTGGCTTAATATAACCCCAACGGACCGTATTTTTGTGAAAGATTGGTATTTTTGTCCTGATTTGTCTCTTATTTAGTTTTATGCGTAATTCAAGATGGCGGCCCCCATATAGTAAATATCGTATTTATTTTATTATCACGTGTGCGCCTGCTGACTGTGCCCTCATTATTGCTGGCAACGCTCTGATTTCCTGGCAATACGCACAGGAGAATGGACTCGCCGTGAGACCTTCAAATGACCTTTCACCCGGTCATGTGACGATGCATAGATTGGCGACATTTTGTATTCGCGAACCAAGGCTATTAATTTCGCCGTGCGAAATGTAATTATGTGTTATACAAAGTCAAGTGATTAACAGCTAATTATTTTATATCTCTACCGGCTACTAGATTGTATGCTGTAAGGAGAAACCGACGACGTTGATTACTAACAAACCAGACGACCAATTCACTTCAGTGACCTTGGTTGGCCCAGTCGTTGTCTAAAGCGCCGCGGTGAAGTAAACAGACAGTATGTGTATTTATGTATTTAACATCCAAGTAGACTGTAGGTAGGATTGAGCTGTGATGACTTGTCAACTTGTATGTGACTGGGATAGGGCAAACAGGTTTATATTGTTGATGTGGTTGTCATTATATTGGGGCGTTTAATGTGTATGCTATGTAGGAATGTACCATTATATCTGCGATTTCCGAGTTGGGCGGATATTTTGGAAACGCTATTTTTCCGTTTACGGTCGAAAATAACGAAGGTCACTGACACATTCAATGTTTTGCGTGTGTGTTTCATGTGTGGATGGCTATTTAAAGATAATATATGCACACACGATTGTTGCTCCCCTTCAAGTTTATTAGTGCACTGGGAAGCTAGGACACTCTGAGTGACTGGATTCTAGGCTAGTGCCTCTGTTGTCTGCTGGGTCGTTCGTATCCGGATACTGTCAAAATAAACACACTCCAATGATAAACGTCACATACGTCAGACGTGTTACACTGTTGTACTAATCAAAATGAAAGAAAACAAAGTTACAACAAAGTAGACGTTCACCAAATTCAAATAAACAGATTGAATACATATGATGAAAACTTTTATCTCAAATTGTTAGAAATGTATCAACAAAGATCAGTATATTATATTCTGGGCTTGGTAGTAGCTCACTGAGTGTCAAATAATTTTGAAAAAGAACACTGAAAAACAGTGGGCCGCCGTTATTTGTGGGTCTAAGTATAACCTCGGGTGGACTTTCGGGCATGTTCACCGCCCGGTAACCATCACGGTGAAAAAGATTACCCCTATATGTTCAACATGTATTCATTCGGTTGCTCAGGATTACTTCAAATTTGAATGTGTGCTGTTTCCGCGACATGAGCTTTTTTCACTAGTCACCACACACCGCATTTTGGTCACCACACTCTCGCGTTGACTAATTTCTACTGGTAAACAAGTTTTAAAATAGTTTATTAATAGCTAATAATGATTTTTTCGTAAATAGTTATAATTTACAAAAGAAAATAATTTCATCGCGGAATAACGGTTAGTAGGGTATTACTCGGTTCATATACCTGCCCGTCCTGTCGGTTGCCAGGTGACGAAATATAAAAAAACGGAAGAACTTCGTGGTATCGACTAAATCGTCTTTTTGCCACACTGTTTGTGCTACAGATGGTACAAATTTTGCTTCTATCTTTGAAAACAACCAGAATCTACAAACATCGCGTACGCTTTCGTCTGGTTCAAAAATCGAACACCTGCATGGCAATGTTTCGGTGAGCGCCTTCGAAAGTTGTGTCACTGTGACGCATCGATCTATCAACAAAAATAATAAGATCGCGTGGTGGCAGAGATATATTCGTAAAAATATAACTCTGCCTGGAAGATTAGGTTTGCGCCTTAGTAACATTGAACGTTCTGTGACGTAGTTCCACCCCGAGGATACGTAGGTATTGTTACCACGATAATTGTCATTGCAGGGTCAAAATATAAGCAAGCAGTATAATGTCCATCTTCGCTAGCTAAGGTTCATTTATTTGTCCATATGGATGACTACACCTTGGCAAATGGTGTATAACCAACGCGTATTTAAGTGCGCCCTCTCTGGTAATACTTGAGATATTTTCGTCAACTAATCATCGAGTCAAACTGCTCGTTATAGCTGCATCACGGGCAAAATTGTACAGTAGAAGTTTTCTTCCCAGCCAGGAATTAAGCTGACATTTTACTATCTGTTACGTTAGGTCTAAAAATACAACTGATTAGATCAATTCATTTTATTAATTTGTTCCCCTATTTTTCACTATACTAAAGAAACACAGATATGACATACGGCCACCTTGTTCGGTACTATTCGTGTGCATAATATGCTCTCACTATAATTTGAACATATATTTTCAACCGTCACATGTTTGAAAACATAGCAACTATATGTCTCTGAGGTAGTATCTGTGAACTGATAAAACTTTGGAAATAATTTCAATATTTTGCACAGACCAACCCATGCTCGAGGCTCCGTGACGGTCCTGCAGTGGTGCGTTCACTGCGTTGGAGAAAGGGGCGCATGGAATTGACAACGGTGCCAGCGTCAAATACACATTGTAACCGAATCAAGTGACAGTCTACATAAATAGTTCGACCAACTGTAGTTTTGCTCAGTAATATGCCACATACCGAAGACAATCCTGCCAAGTGGAAACTGTGGATATGCCACCAAACATTGCAATGGCGATTCTTTGCCATTAGCAACAAAACGCTACATTATATTTATGGCCAGTTGTCACATGTTACGCCAAACGTGATTGGCGTTTAGGGGCACCTCCAATCAGATCTATGGATTTTACCGGGGTAAAATACGCCTATTATCAGCCTGAGTGCAATCTCGTATGGGTTCGTGGGCGAGTATGTTTACATCGAGCTTGCGAATCCGCGGACGATGTATAATGTCCAATACTAAAGCTTTATACTACCAGTATTGTGGTTCATATGGCAACTATCGGCCGCCACTACATCAGCACCGTACCGAAACTTCAAAGTTTTGTTATTATTTCTTTATTATTTGTTATTATTTGTTATTATCCTGTTTAGTGTCGTTTTATGTTCGGGGTGTGTTTATTATAACAGCACATGGGCGCTAAACGGCAAAGCTAATATAAAATCTTCTTTTAATCCACGAACCGCATAATGATTTCTTCTTTTGAGTACGTTTCTACTATTTATTTCCGGTTGTGAATTAGGAAGTTACATGTCTGTAGGTCAAATGTATAAAATCTCACAGCAAAAACTGCGTTCTTTAAAATTTTTGGATGTAATACTTCAAAAGTGCTCTTTCACGGTTTTTGATCGTACATGTCCTGGATACCTACAATGAAATGCAGTATTGTGGGTTTTTTCCCGATTTTTGTTGGCGAAGATTTGCAGTCATTATCAATATAGAAAGCGAGGGCATGTTTTTCCCTGTAAAACTGATCAAATAAATACAAATTGTGATTTTCAACACTGGGTGCGAATATTAAAAAAATGAATATAAGACATTTTAAACAACGAATTAATTATTATTAATAATACCTATATATTTATTATGTCTCAGGTGAAAAGGCACAATGGGTGCAGGCGACAGGGGACGGCGTGGCCATCGGCATCACCGTGCACATCGGAATAGGCATCGTGCCCATCATGCTGCTGCACACCGTCGTCGTCGTCACCACCACCACCACAGAAGAGCTAATCGACTTGGATTCATACACCGACCTGGACATGTTGTAGCTGGCAGTGGAGCGTCAAATGGCGGTGATCAGGGTGGTGTATCGGTATCTAATGTGTCTTGTCGTATGTGTGCGCTTATAATGATCATTTCAGGAGCAATGATGTGCTTACCAGGGGCAGTATTTACGGGATTAAGCCTATTCGGAACTGGGATAGGGCCAGTATTTTTGGGTCTGGGGTTTGTGTTGTTGATTAGTGGTATTGCGTTATGTTATTTCACAGTTGCTAGAGGAAAGAGACAACCAAACGTAGCATATGTTGGTGAGCAACCAGTGCAGCCAGTCGAGGTCGGTATTGTACAACAACCCACTGTACACGCTGGAGTCTCTCCGAATCAACCACCTGGTACATACCCACCACAACCATATCTATCACAGCCCACTGTACAGACTGGCTTCACTCCGAATCAACCACCTGGTACATACCCACCGCAACCATATCTATCACAGCCCACTGTACAGGCTGGAGTCTCCCCGAATCAACCACCTGGTACATACCCACCACAATCATATCTATCACAACCCACTGTACAGGCTGGCATCACTCCGAATGAGACACATGGTGCGTACCTACCACAACCATACCCAGCACATGTAGTCTATTCTCCAAACCCACCACCTACTGGTGTATATCAGGGAAATTACCCAGGGTATCCTGTCACTGGTGCTTCCATGCAACTGCCGGATAGGTTTGTATTTCAAACTAGTATATCATTACTCTCACATGAGATGCAGTACTGCCGTTTGGTAATAATATGCGATATAAATGATAAAGGCCATTACACGTAGTTTAACGTCATTGCAATTTAGTAAAGTTTATACCATGTCTTGATTACGTGCTAAGTAATTATTGTTTAGTCGTTTGCCTTTTAAAAGAATATATGGTATATAAGATCAAATGCATGGGCCTTACACTATCAAGATGTATAAACCCATGTAGTAATTGTCTACACTAAATTTCTGCTGTATGGACACAAGTTGTGTATATGTTCAAACAGTATACAACGAATAAAAACTATATCAAATCTACAAGATAAAATGAACCTTTAATTGCCACGGTAATAATTGAAGTAGGTGATCTTATTTTTACATTGTATTGTTTTACACACAGTTTACAATTTGGTGGCTAATGTCTGTGGTGTTTATGTTCATTTCAACCGGAAATAATTTAAACATTTCAAATACCCTCCCCACATTTGATTGCATGTTACATCATGTGTCTGTTACTTAAGTTCAAAATGTGTGACTAAATCCGAATAAGCTTAATTATATCTGGTTGTTGCCTCATATCCAAGATGGCTTCCTCAACTATCGTGTTAATTTGTACTTATTGTCTTGTATCACAGTAGTGCATCACTAGAAGGCCATGGACAATCATATAACACTCAGTATGGTGGCTTTGATGGAGAAAGTGCATCTGAAACTCAGGTAGCGGCAGAAGCACCACCGCCAAGCTACGATGAAGTTGTCAAAAGATAAGATTTCTATTACAACTCTCCTATTGCTTCTACACCAACACTGAATGCTCCATTACAGAACTTTGTGGACTCTATGTCCTATTGCCGTTAGTGTACTAACCACTACGGAGGATTATGTGACAGACACGCTGTCCATTGAACTATTTGGAACACGATGTCGGTCATTGGCTATTAGTCGTTATCGTGTTTCGAGTTAGGTCATTAATATAACTAATTATGCAGAACTCGTGTATTTGGTTCACCTGTCACTATTTAAGTTTACAAATGTTATGAAAACAACAACTGTATCACAGGTTGTTACACAATTTGAACAAATACAGAATAATATTCAACCTACTTTAAAGTCACCACGGATAGAGGATTAGTAAATTTGTTCCAAAGTGTCATTCTAGTCTTTCATGTTAATTGCACGATGCTGTCTGTTAATAAATGCCTGACACATTGAAATGCGTATGGAGTTTTGTCCGCGTGACTAAGGCAATGCATCAAATAAATTCATGTTACCATTGCAATCCAATCCACGTAATGTGATTATTTTAATTAGTTTGATTGTTGATGTTCAACGATCTCCGGCTAGTTTTGATGGTGGTGACCTGTAACTAAGTGTCAACAGATTCTCATTGATATAAAATACTGTAAGAATATATACACATATATTTAAATCATTCAGGCAATTTTATTTTTTGATAAATCATAGTCCGATTTAGTTTATCGTATGAAGTATCTAACAATATTAAAAAATATATATATTCAAGCATTTGCATTTAAAAAAACTAATTTAGCTAATGTTACAAACTAATTGTACCTACTAGTATATTTTGAATTGTAAATGATTAATTTTAGCATGTATAGTAACTATCGCAAAATAAAACTGACAGATCATTTAAGTTGTGCTGTGTTTATCTGCCCTAGATTATAATCTTGCACGTATCTCATGTAAGTGCTTACATATTGTGATCATTAAAATTTCTTGGGCTTTTGTGAGCTATTTCCTACGAATCACGTTATAATTCATATTGAGACAAAATTCAGAGTTACAAAGCTGCTGAACAATATTGGTATTTACTGCTAAAATATGCAAATTAGATAAAAACTGTCCTAAAAAGTATCTCGACATTTGTTGCATAATCTGAATTGCTAAGGTGCATAGCACCTTTCGATATTTAAAAAAAACAAACTCTGAATTAAAGCCATAATCAACTCATTGTTCACATACCTAAGCAAATCCTCGACTTATTTGAAAGGGTATAGAATGGAATAACGTCTTAGGCTTTACAAATCATCTTTTGGAATCAACTCCAGCATATAATGATGAAAACTATTCAAATTCATCAATAATTATCAATCACTACTTCAGGTGAAAAAGGTTTCATACACTGCAAAATCAATACCAGAATTATATTTGTTCACATGTACTTTATTTTGCCATTTTAGAAGGCACAATGGAAATTAATTGCCGAGCATACTAATTGCCGAACTTGCTCAATCACAACATTTCATTGAAATTTGGTTCATAGATGCTCCGGGGAAATCCACAGACGTGATGAAAAACATGCATATCGATTATCTAATTATTATTAAACAATTTCTGATATCTAAACAAATGAAGATATAATTGAACTTGTGGTAGAGGTGCTCTGGAATCACATTGTTTTAACGTTGTATATATCAAATAGCAGACAAATATTAGTTGCAGAGCTTCTTGTTTGGAGGAATAATTAATTTTGTATGTGTCTGATACTCTCAGCACACATAAGTTCTTTCTAAGCTTTCTTTGATCTCAATTGTTTACACCCCTTACTCCTGGTCAAGTTCATAAACATAGCGGGGAAACAAATAACCTTGACGCTGTTTTCATTCTATTTAAGTGTCTCAACTCCTGCGTTTGTATTTTATCAGTGATAAAAATAATAAAAATGATAAAAGTTTTTAATAGTAGAGTTATCCTCCAATGTTACGAAATGAACTAATCTAATATCGATCCACCCAGAAAGTAAAACATTCATAGTAGAGCTTACAAGATATCGTCAACAATTACATTTTTCATCTAAAACGACAAAAATATTCTTAAAGATTACAAAACTGAGATATCTTCACAAAATATTCAAATCAAGAGATATACCAAGTATAAAACAATAGATTTAGCACTTTTCAATCATCGGAATATATAAAAGCTTCTCAGATTTTGACAATTGCTTGTGTGTACCGCTGCCAAGTTACCGTAGACTAAATGCGAATGGCGCCCAAACACAGCCTAGTGTGCTCGGATTATTGATAGGTCGTTGTATTTCTTTAATAAATATTAGGTATGAACTTTATTTGTGTGTATACACGAATATATCACTAGTTATTTTACATTAAATAGTGTTCTCTTTGTTTTTCAATAGCGCAAAAATCATACAGCGATCATTTATCGGGCGAGGTGAGGTACCATGTCTTACCATGCAGTTGTATATTTTAGATAATATAAGGTTATTACGAAGATACCACAAAGTATGCACGAAGACAGTACAGCGGCAGTATCGACCGACGCGCAGCGGAAGTCAATGCGACAGCGTACTGTCTGAGTGCATACTTTGAGGTATCTTCGTAATAACTTATTATTATTATACATCTTTTCCGACCAATGATACATCATGGGAATGCCGAAAACAAACAAGTTTAGAACAGAATCAGCGAACTTCTTTGTATGAAGTCCGGTCAAACCCTGGTGGCAGCCATGTTTGTTTTTATTATAAGAGGACACTTACGCGCGTAATCGTTCCATATTTGAAATACGCATTCCCTTATATGGTAAGATGAAAATACCCCGTTAAATACCGCAAAATTACAGGCACGATGTAACCTATTGCGTTACGGTGACAGATGTATAATAAAAAAAAAATAATATATTGGGCCAAGAAAATAGTTCACACATTTCCCTAAATTGTTTCTATTCAAGTGGTTTGAAGTTCAAATATGCGGATGCAAGTTTATCATAAATGGCAAGAGTGGCATCAATATTGTAATCAGCTTTCGACAAGCGAGAATTGAAATGTCTACTAGGCGTGGTGCCATAATTGGGAACAACATACATTTCCTTTCTCTATAAACGGGATTTATTGCAAACACCTTAATTATATACACGTTGAATGCATTGACAGTGAGAAAACTCACTATGTTAGGCAATATCATATGAATCGAGCACACATAAAATAGTTGGTCAATAACATACAAATAGTTTTCTAAGTTTAGAATTCACACTTATGCCAATAAAACTGTCGTGACAAACCAGATTTCAAAACGTTGAATAAATGTCACCGTGTTTCGACGTCTTCAATTGTCTTAGGTTGCACCCTTCCTTTGGTTTCAGGTAAGACAAGCACAAGCAGTCCGGCAGCCACGGATAACACTCCAAATATCAACAACGGTAAACCACTAACATATGCTTCCTGAAAGACAGTTGAATACGAGACTTTTGACAATTAGTAACTTAAAAAGAAGAATATGGCAACATACAATTGTTAAAACTAACAGTAGAAAATACAAATACGACCTATGCCGTTTATTGACACCAGTAGACACCTTTGTGAGTTTGTCGGAATGCTCCTAAGCACGTAAGGACGTTTAGAAGGTGTAATTCGCTTACCAGTAACACGATCAGAGGAGCAAGAATTCCACCAATGCGGGACGAAAAAGACGACGCACCAACTCCAAGATTTCTGAGTGTAGAAAAATGAATTATCGTTATAGTAGTCAATAAATTACATTATTTAGAATTCATAACACTAATTATTATTTTCACATATGTCATTAAATAATGTATATGTGTATTTCCTTGCCTTATAACGGTGGGGAACAATTCAGTGGAATATAGAAAGACAATAGCAAAGGATCCCGCTATTCCAAATTTTCCGGTCATGGCAATGACCACCACCAGTGTTGACAGATCGGTACCGTCACCTGCATAAAAGAAATTGGAAAATAGATTGCATATGCAGGCACAATATAAATTCAACATCAAAAATGGCTTTCAAACTTAGGTAGTTTCTGTGTATTATTGATTGCGGTCTCATCAATATATTCACAGTTTCTGTTCGAACCATAAAGAAGCATTACATCTATCAATGGACGTGGGATTGATACGTACTAGTCTCTTCTGGAATGAACCCTGTAAGTATACAAGCTACGCCACCAATGATGTGGAATGTACATAGCGGAATACGGCGACCCCATCTATGGTAGTAAATAAAAACAACGGTACATACATGTTGAAGTAGGATAGGACGGCGTGTGATGAAGATATCGTTGAATTAAGGTAGAGATGCAGTTTACCTGACTGGTATTTTAATTAGTTAATTAGGAAACCAAGATGACCCCATTGTCCACAAAACTATATATTTGCGAAAAGCTTATTATATGAATTTTAAAATGTTGTTAGTATTTTTTTATGAACACTGTAGTTTGAAATATGCACAAAAATGTGCTTTTTTGGTCAAAAGTGATTTAAAAATAATTAGCTTCTAAACCATGCTACTGTTTCCTGTCAAAATTGGTTGATGGGTACATCTGTTTACTATGAAGAAAGTGCCGTCTTGAAAACTGTCTACCAGTTATCAATTTTGCAGAGCAGCAGCTTCAAGTTTATGCATAAATTAACACCCAAGCTAGTTGTCTGTATGATTGTTGTAACGCTGTTCAACCAAAAACAATGCCCCGACGGCGTCATTGTCAATCAATTCCTAATTTTCTAGTTGTTAGTTTTCCACGGAATTCCGCTAGAGGGCGCATCCAAAATACCCGGATGACGAGCCTGAGTGGGGTTGTTTTTATTAAAGTTCTGTATTCTTACATGCGTAAATCAATAGATTAGAAAAGCAAAAAAGTCCCAGAACTCCACAAATTTCTTCAGAATCGTGGTATAACTTGCAGCAATGTTCGTAAAGCTAAACTGTTGAACTGTGA